TTGTGAAACACAAAGAAAAACATCTAAAATGTGAGCGAATTTGGAAGTTATTGAGTTATTTTTGTTTTCTTCGCTCAGGCTGACGTAAGTAACCGGAAGTGAAATTTCAACTCCTTAGCAACGCGCGCGAGCGCGCGCATAAATCGGTTAATGGGCCCTTAAGATGGGGAAGTTAAGTGTTAACTTATTCGGCTTAGTTGAAGTGTTTACAACAAGAGATAATCTCAGCTCTTGACCAGGGCTTTATTGTATCGTCTTTATTTTTAGTGCTAAGCTGTGGTGGCGGAGGTGGTGGAAGTGGCGGTGACGGCGGCTCTGGTGGTGGTGGTGGTGGTGGGACAGGTGGCGGTGGCGGTGGAGGAGGCGGAGGAGATGGCGGCGCCGGCGGCAGTCGTAGCCTTAGTAAGTAGTTTTCTTGTGTGTTCTCCGTTTCAAGTGAAGTAAAACAAGAGTTATTGACAAGAGAGGAAACCGGTCGCTCTCTTGTAAGCGCAATAAAACAGTACTATGTGATAACATAACAGAATAAAAAGCATAGCTTCTAAGAAAATCAAATGTAACATGAAAATGCCGATATTACGTTTAATTTTAAATCGTAATCGCAGAGGTAGACTTACAAATAAATATCTTAAAAAATTTGGATGGGCGGTAGGAATGTTAATGTTAAATGCCTTAAGAATCACTCTCTCATTCGTCTTACTCCTAAATGACAGAACACTTCTTTACTCTCTTTTTCCTGAAATAAACGATCAGTAAGTTAAAAGATATTTCCCAGGTCTCGCTTTTATCCAAGAACGGGAAATTTGTGTTATCATAGCTGAGTTTTGTGTTCTTTTAATGTAATACCAAAAGAAATAAACTTAGCCTTGGAGGAAGGCCTTTTTAATTTATTTTGTTTAATTTTTAGTGCCAACAACCCATGAAGGTGCAGTTCCAAAGACCCATGAAGTTGTATTGCCGACAACCCATGGAGGTGAAATGCCTAAGGTTTTAGAGAAAACAACCCATGAAGAAGATGGCGACGACGATGACGATGACAAATGATGACTGAACAATAGTGCCTTCAATTTAACAAAGAAGCAATGCAGTCACAAGAATTGCCGATATTACGTTCAATTTTACATACAGTGTAATAATCGTAGTGGTAGACATAAAATACAATGTAAAACAGCAAGGCAATAAAAGTTACACGAACATAAACAGCAGAGTTGTTTGTTCTAGTACATTTCCTTGTTTTAAGTGTGAGAGAACTCACGTCCCACCGACTCTTAGTTAAACAATTCACTAATGATGAAGTAAGTTCGTCACGCACAACTTTAGAGCATGTTACCCGGAGGTAGTATAAGAGGCTTTCAGAATCCTTGCACAATTTCATTGTGTGGTAACTGATTGGATTCATAAAGGTCGCAACTACAGGTATAGTTCTGGAAGGACAAGGAGATCCGCCTTTCACGATTGCCCGGGCGGTGATATCTATTACAGATAGTATAATAAGAAAACAAACTACTAGAGAAAAAGCTCTATCATTTCAAAACCATTCAACAAAACACTAAAGCCGGCTTTTGCCCAAAATGGCAAACACGAAAACAGCAATTTGACGTAATCTATCATCTATACAAAAGGAAGCAAACTCATTGGTTGCTAAAGCGATTTACAACTGAGTGTCGAAAGTAATCAGACAATTACTTTGGTTTTAGTTTTGGTTCTGGTTTTGGTTTTACTACGGTTTAAGATTGGCTGAGTAGTCTAACTGCTGGTAAGTAACTGGTTTGGTTTTTGTTTGACCACGCTCAATTGAAAACTGCTCTATGCGTAGTAAAGAATTGTGATTGGTTTAGGGAAATCATGCCACTGTCAAACTTGACTCAAGCGTAGCTTCTCGTGGAATGAACTTATACGAAATGCTGGCAATGTGAGATCTTTCTTTTGTCATCAGAGCAGCCCTGTGAGCCGAAAAACCTGGACGTTGCCTTGAATATTGGAGAAGTTGAAAAATACGCTCGGAAAACTCGCGGTTGCTGTGAACATTGGGGGCCATTCGATTCAGGAGTGTTCGTGACGGTGGAAATATGTGTCCTCTGTGGTTGGTGATTCTCAAATCAGTTTGATATAGTGTCGGAGACACCTTATAGCTGTTGTTCAGTTGGCCGAAAGCTGTAGTGAGCTATACTTTGCTCGCTGCTGTGCCCTGAAACGGACTGGAACATTCGCGTCGCAAAGCAGGTTATGTGTTTATTTTTAGCTTAACGGATTTTAAGAAGTGACGTTTTGATGTTTTGATGTTATCATTCCTGACATCAATCTGTGTCAACAATTATTTTGAGACTGAGAAAAGTTTATTGGGCTAGAATTCGAGACAAAGCAATAGTGCCAATATTGTGTTTGCTTTAGTCTCGCTCGACTGCCGCTTGAGACTGCTCGAATATTTTTTCTGAGTCTTTTTCTGAAAAAGAAACGGCTTCCCCTTTCTTCTTCCTGCTCGTATCTGTTCAATCCCTCGACAAGTCTTTTTTGCAACTTTTCTTTCGACCAATCGCATGACATTTTATCTCAATTCTCAAAACTTTTAGCTATTTCAAAAAACAGTTGGAAAAATATTTGAAAATATTGAAGGGCCGCAGCCAGGATAAAACAAGGTAAAAATTTAAAAACAATCGCTGGCTGAAACGATTAAAAAATTACAAGCCTTCGATTGCTCGAACTACAGTCTTGGACGGTACGTAAAATGTGAATGAAAAGTAGTAAAGAAAAAAGAAAAAAAATGAATACAAATACGTAAAATTGCGAAATAATAAAAATGCAAATAATTATGAAATTCAATATTTGTTGAGAAGAATGTTATATTGTCCAGGTAGTGGACATCAATTGTTGTCTGGAGTCAGTTTAGTATGCCACGCCTCCAGTGTCTTTCTTGTTCTAAAACCACCTTTATCAATGATAGAAGCGTTTTCAGAGTCAATGGCGCGATCATTTGACCAGGCACGATTTACAACACTTGCGCCTTTGGCCTCTGTTTTGAAATTTCTGAAATGTTCTTTTTTCTGGTGTTGAAAGCTCTGCCCGTTTCTCCAATGCGGCACCACGAACAATTGGCACAAGGAATTTTGTACATGACGTCTATCTGCGAATCCAGCGAAGGTCGAAACTTTGGGGCCAGGAACTGTTGTTGTAGGGTGATCAATGGTTTGTTTACAACTGTAACGTCAGTTTTTTCGAGGACTCATGTCAAAGGTTCGGTTACACCTTTGACGTAATTAAGAGATGTGAAAGATTTGCGTGACTCGGTTGGTTCAACCATCTTGAAAAACATTCCAATACATGTAACAACATTTTCTAAAAAAAGAAACCTAAAAACATGTCATATATGAAATAATATTTGTTATAATGACGTCAATTGTGCGTCTGTCCTCTAATAGATCATAGGTGAGAACCAATCAAAATGCGAGAATAACTTGACTTATAATATAAAGTACAATAATCCTTCAAGGTTGTTTTTGGTGAGAGAGTTTTGACACTTTTGGGTAGACTGATGGACTAGCAGGGGAGACAAATAGTTTAAAATGGGCCAATTTCAACTTCTTTCCTTTTGCGAACAATCACATTATATTACTGTTTTAGATAGGCGTGCCGTGCTTTTGGTATTTAAGCATGAAAATCTTCCTAATTTTCGGCCATTTTGATTCATTTCTGAAAACTAAACGTCTTTCGCAGTTACTAAGTCAATATGCAGTAAACTATTCCAAACTGTTTATAATAATGGAATTGATCTATTTTCCATTATTTGGCTCTCAAAAATCATTTTACCTAAATGATTCAGTATTGAGAGGAATTTAAGGAATTTAAGAAACTTGTCATTATTATTGGGAGGAAGAATGCACCAAAAGAGCGCATGGCTAATTTGTATAATAACATGAAAAGTGACACGGCGGATAATGGGAATAATACTATTATTTCAAGACTTTACTTTTGGCTAATCACCACTGTAATGTATAGCCTAATCTATGGAGTCTCCCAAAGTAGGCAGCCAAGCTATATCAGGAATACTCGAGTTTTTGATGGATGTCAAACTCTAGAAAGCAATATCAAAGAGGAAAAAACACTTACGAAAGGCAATTTAATTAAAACTTGGACGCCTTCATGTGCGTCTTTCGAGTTTTGCACAAGCGGACAAAGCATACAAAAAAAAATAATGGCATTTTTAAATTTNAAAAAACCTGCATTGATCTTTTTGGAGAATAAATTTACGACGGAAATTAAAAGCTAAGTTTGCGTGGCACGGGTGGCCTTGTTTGCGTTATCGTTCTTTGGTTCCAGAGCTGTTCTTTCCTGCTTCTAAAATAGAGACGGTAAGAAAGGACAATACAAGAGAGTATTTTTTATCCACAGTGAATGTGTCTGGTTTATACAGATATAAAAATTGAAATATTGAGATTTCACAGCATATTGCAGATAAATTTAGCCAATCTATACTTAACATGAAGGCTGATATACAGTAAACCACCTTTCCTTAAACGAAAAATACTATAAGTAGGAAACACTCTCCACAAATACCGTACCTCTAGTCTGATGTAAAAAGCGTTTGAAGGGCTTTGAAACTTGCCGCAAGAGAGATTTTTCGTTTGCCGGTCATTTTGACGCTCGCCATGAGACTTTGTATTGCCATTGCTGTCGTGTTGCTGATCATTCAGTGTCAGAAAGGTTAGTGAAGTGTCTGTTGGGCTGCCTATGCACGTGGAAGCCTCTGACAAGTATCATGGGATAGGTCTTGTTGTTTAAAATACGTGTGGGTGAGAACGGCAAGAGCGCGTTTATACTGTTTTCAATGTGGCTTAAATGCGAATAAAAGAGTGGTGCAGTAAGTTGAAGTTACTTTCAAATCAAGTGTTTACACCTTTTGCTGTTCATTTACAGAAAATAAACATTCATTTGTGTCCAAATTTCTTTCATTATGATCATTAAACTCTCATTAACACCAATATGACCTTCGTTTGCGCGTAAGGAACGTTCAAGAAAAACATTTACATATGCATTAACATTCAAAATCATCAATAGAAAAACAATACCTTCATTTGACATTCATTGACTGTAAATGTATTTTCATTTTGGTCGAAAAAAAATTCGTT